ATTCCGGCTTCGCAGAGTCAACTTGAACTAGAACTACATAAAAAGTGAATATAAATTATACTGAAAAGACATCTCCAATAACTGGTTTCTATAATTTTGATCATATTGTCAAATTTTTAAACCAGATATTAGATGATAATTGGTAAATGTTCTGTTAATATTGTTACTTCTAAAAACTGATACGATTCGTGAGAAAAACTCAGTTTTCTGAAAACCTACATTTTATAATATATAATAAAAGAAAATTTTTGCAGAATATTATGTCGAAATATATTTTCGTTATAAAATTTGTTGCATTCAAAGTATTTTAAAATTTTAATATTATTTTAATACTATAATCTTCTGAATTTGATGTCCGACTTCAAAACAAAAAAAAAATAAATTTATATTTTTCAATGTTTACTATTTAGAGCGCCAACAGCATATTTCCAAGTCTCCATGGTGTTTCTTCCTTTCTTCTTCTTGTTCTGACTTTTCAATTCTACTACTTTATTATAAACTATTTCTTTCTGGTCCAAGATAAGAAATACAGAAACAAATAAAGAAAGAAATACACGAACAATGGAATGAATACACCACATTGGTTTTTTACTGTTTCTTTTGTTGGAATTACTATAGGAATTTAGTGACCTGAGAAATCGTCCGAATCGTTACAATTTTTGTCACACTGCTTTATCTCTTTTAGCTGCTTAGAAAGCTTAATTTTCTTACATGGGCGGCTTTTGATAACATTTTTGCATTGTGAGCAGTGGGGTATGGGCGTATCTTCCAATTCTGTATCACTTTCTTCACCTTGCTGCATTTGTGCTGTTCTTAACTGTTTATTCAGTTTCCTTTGTTGTAAATATCGTTGAGCTCTTTTCCTAATACGCAATGAAGGAGTAGCTGGTCTCCTAAAATAACCAGCGTCGTCAAAATGACGCTTCGATTGCACCCTCCTTCTCATATTTTGACGGTCTTGTCCATTAGTAGTGGTAGAAACATCACGGATTGCTATATTAACTGTATTGTCTCGTTCCGTATTCCTAACATTATGTTTACCAAGACTTTTTAACCATTTTTGTTTCTCCAAAGCCAATTGAATGAATGGACTCCGTTGTGCATATGACATCGAGTTCCAATTCTTAACAGCAAAGTGTCGTAATAGCGCTTCCCGATCTGAGTCTGCAATAATTCCTTCAGATTGGTTGTCAGTTAAACCAGTGACAACAGCTCGCGCATCGCTCAGCTCCAATTTATTATTCGTATAGAGCAAAAAAACTTTTTTGTATTCATTTATATAATTCACAAATCCATTTATACTTATATCATCCGTTTTACCTCTACGTACAATTTTACGCCATACAGCACTGGAATTATATCGACTCTTAGTTCTATAATAATTTGACTTGAAGTTAATTTTAAGGATGTTTTTCAATCGTTCGAAAGCAGAAGAGAGTGCATCTATGACTGCTCTTGTCATAATGCAAAATAGTTAATTTTGATTTATATTAAGAATAATGTACAAAATATAAAACAAGTTATTAATGAAAGCAAAAAACTTCTTCAATTTAGATTGATTTTAAAAAATCACTGACAGATTGATCTATTTTTTTTTTGGAAATTTTATTAAGGTTATTAAAAAATTGTTTTTTGTATTTACAATTATATATATTTAGAATTATAAATTATATTATATAGAACCATAGGATAGGATAAGTTTGATGTTTTTACTAAGATCATTTGAAGAGTTTTTGTCTTGAATGGTCTTAATGCCAACTCTGTTGATTGCTGTCGACAGTTGCTAGTACTGAAAGTTTTTATATCGTTAGTCATCTGCTTCACCCATTCTCAATCTGTTTCTCTTTCCACCAGCGGGTACCGAAGCAAATACATTCCTAACCGAACAATTTTCATCAATCTAATATCGATTTCCCGGAATAATTCCATACTCGTTACTAATATTTAGGGTACTAAGATCCTAAATATTACAGAGAATATTTTTAATACTTTCTCATCACTGGTGGCTATAATTCAAACTTTTGCACAATAGAGCAGGACAGGTGTAAAAAGATGATTTCTGTTTCTTAAGAGAGGTTTTTATTTCTCATTTGTCTACTTAGCTCGAAGTGCCATCTATTGCCAAGAGTAATATTGCAATGAATAGCTATACTGACGTTATGTTTAAATTTTACACTGATTCTTAGATAAATTAATCTTTTCACAGCTTGCATCTCAAGATGCTTAGAAGAATTTTTGTGTTGACAGAATATAATTCATTTTGTCCCGCAGTAGGTCTTGTTTACCAGAAAACCTACTAGATAGATTTGTCTGTTTTTTTTATTTGGATATTCAGGCCAACAATCCCTTGCTATACATTAGCAGCATTACACTTTTGTAAAATATTGTGCTAGTATGGTTCAAATTTGCTCCTCGAATTTTAGGTTCAAAGCAATAAAGCTATTTTTTAAAAAATTAAATATAAGAATCATAGTTTTAACTATGATAGCGGTGCAATAAATTTTTTAAAAGAAAATAGTGTATAAAATGGAGAGGGAGAATTATTAGGGAAACTATAGTTTGTCTTAAACTTGTTAATATATTTAATAGTAATATATACATATTATATCAGATAGTCAAGTTATTATAAGGTGCTTAAGTTCAGTCCAATTTACATTTAGGACGATTTTTTTATAGTTACACTTCTCTAATGAAAAACGGAGTATTTATATAATCGTTCGAAATACCTAAAACATCTGGGTATATCGTTGATACCAAGCAAACACTTGCTAGATTATTTTTCTGCTGTGCAATTGAATAAAGGATGGAAAAACTCAATGATATGTATGCTAATTGACCGCTTTTTTATAAGGAAAAATCCAGTACACTTATTGAGATGCTCTATAAAGATATCAGACGTATGGTAGGTCTACTGAAGGATATAAATCGATTAGAAAATCATGTTAGTAGATTGAATTTTTACTTTAAGAATTGCTGTCGCAGTTATGGAGAGAAGGAAGAAAGTGCTTCACATCTGGTTTATTATTGCACAACGTTAAGCGTTCCGCCCTATGCTGTTACTAAAAGTGATGTCTTTATCCAAAGTACACCAAGGTTATAATAATAATAACGTATGAGTGGCACCATTTTACTATTTTACGATCTTTCTCTTTTAAATATCTTAGAAATATTCAGAACCTCCCTTTAAAGCGCATTTTAAGCCTTGCGCAAATGTAAGATGGTTTACATACCTCTTAGTTTCTTATACGTTAACCCAATGGGGGGCCAATAGATCTAAGTAGATTCTACTAGGATTGCCAGTATAACCTAACAACTAAGAACTTGAACGCAGTATTTAATATGGATTATTATCTGTCTCTATAGATCGGTATTTAATGTTTTGATATATTTTATAATATCAAAAGATATTTAAAATAATTTTTAAGTATAAGAAATGATTTTGACTGCTCTAAGTTTGTTATTGCTTTCGGATATTCTAAAAAATCACCTAAATCATATGGACCTACTTTATTCAAAGTGTTTCAATACTATAATGCCACTTTAGAAGTGTTGAACTGGCTTTTAATAAATTATGTTAAAATTGACTTTTCACTATTATTTTATATGTTTCTAAATCCAAGAGTTCATCAATAAATTCATAAATAATTTTATATTTATTTTTACTAATCATCAATATTAGCCACAATATTGACCACTTAATGTTAATCAATCACAAACCGGCACTTTTCAGCTGTCAACCACTGTAAACTCTTCACACTTTATAAATTGAAGGTCGTCGCTGATGACTTACATATTGACGCACATATATTTACTAATAAATTAGATAGCATTTAATTAAGCACAACAACAACAACGACAACAATGCCGCTCTCACACGAACTGAGAGCAAACAAATAAAAATAGTTATCAAAACAAAAAACTAATACAAAATTATTTTCTGCCTATAAATATTTATTTGATTTGTTTTGTTTACATTCTGCAAGTGTTGCCAACCGCGACATCACATCACCAATGCAAGCAAGTACTTTTACCCGCAAACGTAGTGGTGTGGCAAATGCGTGATAGTTGTCAACACACATTGAGCACTGAGCACCGAACACCGAGAAGGCAAGCAGAGAAGCATTAACTGCAATTAAGTTGTTGTTGTTGTTGTTTAGCGTACACACATAATAAAAAAATAAGCACAAGTAACTGATAATAGTAAATAATACCAAGTATATTGAAATGCTTTGGGGGCATTCCTAATAATAACTGCAGCATAGCAACGATAGCAAATCAAAGGGAAAACTTTCTTGTTTTTAACTCTGACGTGAGCAGATTTCTTAGAAAGCAGCAGATAAAAATAAAATATGCACACACTGGAAGGAAATTGTGTTTTGAGTAGATTGCAGCTTGTTGGGGCTGTTTGCAAATTATAAAAATAGAAATTCCAAAATAACTTCAAAAACAACAGAAATATTTTCCAATAAAGTTTACAAGAAAACAAAAAATCTAAACACACAAAATAATCAAAATATCAGAATTTGTTTTCCCCAACATAATTGAATTTTTTTATTAGCTTTTTTTCACTTTTTATGCATAGTAATTTGTTAAATTTGCGAGATTAATTAAATTTGACATGCTTCATTGGCAGCGTGTTTTGCTCCGCTTACGTTTGCATAAGCTTCTTGTTATATTCACAACCGTCGAGGTCACTCACCTCAGAGCACGTCATAAAAAAGTACTTAGGCATTTTACGTATAGTAAAATTCTTCTCCACATTGCATTCACAACTAGAACAGGCACAAGGGCGTACGTGGGCCGCCACTTAGGGATCGATTGAATATTATTTGGCAAATTTGAAACTATAAATTTGTATTTGCATCACAATTGCACACACACACAACACGCTCATTTTCTTTCGCACTTTGCGTTGCGTGCATTTTACATTTTACCAGTGGGCATTTACCATTTCTATTTACTACGTTATTTTTCCATTTTTTTATAGGAAAATTTCTCACCTTTTCTTACATCACACATACGACACTTAAATGCTTCAGCTGTATTCCGATATGTACATACGCTGCAGTCCCAGAAATTATCCTCAATTGCTTTCGATTGACGCTTCTGCCTTTTTTTGTGATCCATAATAAAAATTTTAACTTTGTGGCTTCTTTACTTTTGCAGCGTCTCAACAATTACTGCTACTTCTCTCTTTTTTATTTAAATTTGCAATTATTTATATTATTTAATACATGCAATGCACTTTCATTTACAAATAACTTTATTCTATTTTTACGTATAAAAATACTTTTTTTATATATATAAAATATGTTTATCTTTGAAATATTTCTGTTCTTTCGCTAAAAATTACAACACAACAACTGAACTCAACCACTAAAAGCGAAAATTTTACGTGTCTGCTTTGGTTTGACGTTTGCTTCAATCAAACAAATATGTTTGACAGCTGCACAGAGTAAAGCCGATTTTGGTGTGCTGGCAGCACTATTCAATGAAAGTGAAATAAATGTTTGGTTAAGTATTCCATAATTATTTATTATTGAATAAATAATAAAAAATATTACAAAAAATATAATTGATGTTGTGAAGTATTCAATAATTACATTTTATTCAATAAAAAATTAAATATTAAATATTTAAAAAATATATTTGTATTTATTGAATATTTAGTAATTGTTTAATATTGTTGTTGAGTATTCAATAATTAATTTATATTCAATAAAAAGTTAAAAATATTAAATAATTATATTTGCGTTTTTTATTGAATATTTAATAATTGTTTATTTTTAAATAAATAAATAAATATATTATAAAAATATGATTAACGGTGTTTATTGAGTATACAATAATTATTTATTTTATTATTTAAATAATATTTGAAATTAATTATAATAAATCATTTTTATTCAATAAAAAAATAAAAATATTAAAAAAATATAATTAAATTTGTTTATTGAGTTTTCCATAAATATTAATTTTTGAATAAATGATTAAGAATATTTTAAAAATATAATAAGTATTTTGTTGTTGAGTACTCAAGAATTATTTATTATTAAAGAAATGATTAAAAATATAAAAAAGTATTATGAGAAGAACATTTTTATTGTCTAGCGGTATTACGTTTATTTTTTTTTTTGTTTTCACTCCAGCTACTGATATATTAATTCGGTTATTGCAAACCTTTAAATTTAGTTGCCAATATATATAATATATATTAATTAGTTCACTAATAACTTATTATTGCCATTGTTATATTATCATTAATAATATTTAATTTAGGTTTATAGAATAGATTTATTTCTATTAATATATCATACTATTCCAACTTATTACTTAAAATATTCAGAATTTTTGTTTAAACTTAGTATCTTAATTAGAGGGTATTTCGTGGAGTGTCCCGGGACACGAAGGCAGTGAAAAGCGCTAGTTATTTCAACAAGCGAATTTTCTAACATTAATTAATTGAACATGATTTATTCTGTGTTCTAGCAAGATGGTCATAGTAGATAAAATCACATACTGTAAACACTTTTAATTAAAAAGTGTATCCATTTAAGATATTTTTAAATAGAATTATACTAAACCATGGTCTAGTATTTTAAAAACCGACATCTATTGCTAACACAATAGGTCATCCGAGTCGGAGTGTGTTATATTCTCCACTTCATAAATGAAAATAATTTTAATACGTTTTTCTGTAGAATACCCTTAAGACCAGCGTTTTGGCAGAAGAATTAAGAATTAAACCATCTAAAGAAAATAGATGGTAGATACCCGTACAATTTCAGAAAAAGATCCGGTTCGCATAAGTTTCTTATGCCCATTGTGATACTATATTTTTAAGAGTACTCTCTGACTATCAAAAAACCTACTTAATTCCAGTACAACATTTTATTATTTTATTAAACTGGGTACTGTTTCTAAGAAAGAGCACTTTTACTTTCCAAGTTGTTTGATTGAAGAATTGTTTTGGTTCTATATCATTGTTTAAATTCCATACGAGTATTTTTATAGAATTACACAAATATTATGGATTTTGGTAAAAGACAAGAGTGTAATCATATGAATAGATTTCATTTGAAAAGTCTTAGAGAGGATGATAGTTAGATATAGAATGGAAGTAATTGGAATTGAGTTTTTTGTGTTTAAAAAATCAAGAAGTTTATTATTTGATTTGAGGCATTGAACGCAAGAAAACTGGATCTAATTTTTTAAAAAGCTTGCCTTGAATTCAATCAAAACTCTATTAAACATGGCACACACTGAAAGTAAGGCATTTTAAAAATAGTCGTCGGTTCCCTAAAATATGTTTGTTACACATAACATATTTATGTGCATGCGTAAGTAAATATGCAAAAGAGACTGCTAATTGCAAGGTTCCCGGGTTTTTAGGTGTAAAAAAAATGTGTAGTAAAATGTAAAATAGCTGCAACAAAGTTGCAGATAATAAAGGATTGTTGCAACAGAACAGAGAACATTTGAACTTACTTTTGCTCAGTAAAATCTTTCTTTTAGATTTGTCGTATAACTTTGTCATAGTTAATTCTGCTTTGTGAACTAACTATATATTCTCATAAGTCTGGTTTACGGATTTTGTTGGATTATATATCTCGAAGTATTTAATATTTATTTTTTGAAGACAGTACAGTAAATCACCTCGAGCTGTTCGATTTATTGTGTTTTGTTAAGGGTAATGTTATGTATTTAACTTGAATAGAGGATGAGGTTATTGATAAATTATATAATGTGGTCTAGTTCACGTTTCTAGAGATTTACGTTGTAAGGTATCATTAGCTAAACTTCAATAAATTAACTAAAAATTTTGTTGTTGGCTTTTCATGCCTTTTTGAACCAGTGTTGTATAGTCAGCCATACTTCAATAAATTATCTAAATTTTTTGTTGTTGTCTTTACATTTCTATTCGAATCCTACTGACTTTTCGGTTTGTTGAGAGTTAGAGGAAGCTGTTGAATTTATTTTTGGACTTCACAGGACACGAGGAAAGTGACGTGTGACTTGGATCAAGTTTCTACAGATTTTCTAATTTTTTAAGAGATATAAGAAGCTGCTGAATTTATTTTCAGATAATCATGGGATCCGAGCAAAGTAATTAGTTAATATTTTTTCGGCTCTTCATAAAAAAAAATTGTATGTGCTATAGACTTAAAATGATCGATTGCAACGCTGATATAAAAGAAAAAATTAAAGTTATATATCCTATCATTTCATCCGACAATATAATTTAAATTTTTTTAAACTTAATTTCAAACACAATAATTTTTTTTTATATTTGAAATATATTTTATTATTTGTAGGCAGTTTTGAAGAACATTTTAATGACATTTATTTATATAATGAACATATTTAAATAATCATTGTTATTTTTAATCAAACTTTTCTTCCTCTTCAGGTTGTATCAGTTTCAAATCTATAATTTATATTTATTTATATATATGTATATATATATATATCAATTTGTTGTTGTTGTAGTTGTATATATGCTTGCGTCCATTCATATATGTTTTATGCCTTATATTAAATTTTAAATATACTTAAAAAAACATTTTTTGTTTGTTGGTTTTGTTTTAGTGTTAAATAAATATTTTATGTATATAATAATATATTTTATATATGTATATATATATAATTTTAATATGTAATATTTTGTTTTAATATCATAGATCACCAAATTTCATAATTAAAAAAAACAATGTGTACAGTAATTTCTTGTCATACTATATATATTTATATATATATCCATTTATATATAGTTATATATATATATATATATATATACGTATATATATATCTATACATGTATGTATATATATGTTATTTTTTTAACATAATATGTTATAATTTATATTTATATGTATATACTATATATGTATGTATAATATTATTATTAAATTTTTTCTTTCTTTTATTATTATTAATTTATTATTATTATTTATAATTTGTAAATGTAGGCTATTTACATATACATATTTATCATGTATGATATAAATGTGTTGTTTATGTTTTATTTATATATGTATGCGTTGATTTATTATAGTATATATGTATGTATATATATGTAAATATTTATTTAAGATTACTCACACGATCATTGTAGTTGTTGTTATTAATATATATATACATATATACATACACATACATATTTATATTAAAATTTTGTTGCAAATTTTTATTGAATTTAAATTGCTTATATTTATTTTTATTTAAATATTTTTATGAGGTAAAAAAATTATTTTAAACTATTATATTTTAATAAAAAAATTGTTTAATGTATATATAGATTTTTCGTATGTAACGTAAAACATAATTTTATTATATTTATTTTTACATTACATTTTTTTTGTTTAATCAAATATGTTTTTTGTATTTTGTATTTTCAATTAGAAGTTTTTGTATATATAAATATTTTTTTTTATTTCTCTATATATTATTTATTAGCAATAGTCGTGAAAATTGTCTCTTGTTAGTTGAGCTCATACACAAATAAATAATAAGTTGTATGCCAGTACATATATAGGTATATATATATTTATATATTCTATTATAATGCTTATACATATATTAATTAAATTTTCTGAATGTTAATTATAATTTAATTTTTTTTCTCAATGTCTTCTGTCATATTAAGTATTTTACGGTTTTTATTTCAATTTTCTGTAAAGTTAAAAAAAAAATTTTTTTAAAGTTAAAGTTGAGATCAAAATAATTTTTAAGTTTACAAATGATTAGAAGTTTATTCTTATTGCAGATTTTGTTGATAATCAGATATTTCTTATATTATATATAAGCAGTTGCAAATTGAGTTCAGGGATTTTCAACGGCGGGGACTTTGAGATTTAAAGTATAATTAATATAAATATCATATTTACTTCACAATTATTATTTTATTTTTTTTATGAACTACATGTAACATAGAGTTATTAAATAATTATATTATTTTTTTATTTTGGATTGTTCATACAAATTAAGTTTATTGCTTTTCTTTGTTGGTTATTGTTAACAATTTCTTATTAATTTTTTTTTCTAATTTGTATATGTACACTGATGATTGTGGTGATTTTGTTAATTATTATATTAAAAAATAATGTTTATAAGTCAGATAAATTTAAAATCAAAAATATATAATTATTATATATTTTTTAACAAATTATTATATACTAATATAATATTTAAAATAATGATTAATTTAGATTAAATAATATATAACATACAAAATAATTTACATTATACGAATAGATATGGAAATATTATTAATTGATGAATATTAAAATTAAAAAATAAATAAATAGTCTTGAAGTAAATAAAATTAATCAATAAAATGATTAAAGTAATTATTCAAAATTAAGTTTTA